TATCTCGGGCACTCTGGCAAATGGTAGAAATTTGCCGATCTGGCCAAAATCTTCTAAAGTGAATGAGATTAGCTGACGAGCTCCATTATCATTTGGCGAGTAAATAACAGGATTTCGCTCCCCCTTCTTTAAGATAAAGTTTTCAAGAGGAAAATCGTTCAAAGGCATAGTATTACGAAATAAGTTTGTTCTCTTTAATTAATTCCTATTTTTAAAGGGTCATGTCAAAATAATACTTGTAATTTTTATTTGAATAATTAAACAGGTTTTACCTCTAAATTTTAAGGCGATTTAATGAATGAAGTTCATTTAAATTATTATTTATATTTATACTTTTTATTCTCAACTTAATTAGTAATTTAAAAGTTGGTTCTGGAATATTTTGATTAATAATTAATAAAAAGAAGAACATTTATACTGAATCAATTTGAGGATTGAAAGTTATTATTCATCAGTTTTTCTTCATGAATTTTAAATTGTAACAAAAAATAATTTTTATACTTTTTTTGCTCTAGGTTACTTGCTTAGCGATTAACTATTTTATCGTTATATTCTTCACTCTTAAAGGTTTCTTGAGCACATAATTATCGCTTCCTGGCTCTCACTTCTTGTGCAGCACTTGGAATAAAAACAATAACAGAAGTTTGAGTCACGCTCCATGTAATTTAATTACTCGAGTTATGCAACGTGCACAGTATGCAAGCCAAACAGGTTGCGGAAAACGGCGTTGCCAGGGGCGATCAAACTGCCGTTCTTATTCCAGACACTTTTCCAACTGCTCGATTAAAGTAAATTTCTCCGTCGGAATGATAATATGCTTAGTAAGCCCGTTTTCAGCCAATAAAATCGCGATAAATCTCGCGGCTGCGACGGACTGAATTACATTCGTAGAACGGCGCGGTGAAATCGATTGTTATATAAAACACCAAACTCCATTCTTCAATATATAACAAGCTCGAATTGAGCATTACGAGAGGTAAAACAGGCGCGAGTGTGTATAAATATTTTATTCAAACGGGCCGTCATTATTTTCTCTCGGCGTGATAAAATATCGCGGCCATAAAAGTGTCGCGCGCAAGTGAAAACTCGGGCACACCTTTGCTGGCGTGAAATATCTCCATTCATTGTTGTCCCGGTGGCGACGTCATCATTCTCCGTCGGCCACATTCTCGCACATTCACCAGTTGATGCGGCAATATAAGTAATAACAAGGCTGCTGTGCCACCGAGAGAGCGGCGAAATCTCTCTTCCAGGCACTCTTTTCGGGGCCGGTGATTTCATCCACTTAGATCCGAGGCACCAAACTGGCAGCTTTTCACGCCGAATTGCGTTTCAAATCAATCAAAAGCATGACTGACTCTCGACTAAAATATCATAAGCCGGCGCGGCTGATACGATGCCAGCCATAAACTGCTCACTCTCGTCAATGGGGCCGCGAGCGAGCAAAAAATCGCGTGTTGTGCGAGAGCGGCAACCAAGTGAAATTGAGTGCCGAAAAAGTATAAAAAAAATCCTTTGCTGGAGCGCGAGGCTTTTTTTGTCTTTTGTTTCACACTGCGGTCTGGCGCGCAAAGTACTCTGGGGATTGAAATACCATTGATAAAAAAAAAAATAAACAACAGTTTCGTAAGTTAAGAATAAAAATTAAAAAAAAAAATATAAATCACAAAATTTTAACTCTTGTTCCTGAGTTTGGTCTTCTCATTTAAAGTGAAATAAAATCTTTTTTACTGCATATACAAAAGAATTTTGAAAAAAAATCTTTTCAAGTTGCATAATTACTTATTTTTTCTTTATCCATCAACTTGATTTGAGACAGAATAATAGAAACGAGATGCAGTGATCTGCAGATGATTTATTTCTCCGAATTATATTTCTTTTGCCCTCCTCAAATCAAAATGTCTCTAATGTTTTTTTTTTCACGAAAAAATGAATAATGACGATGTTTGTTATTTGGCCAATGTTTAGCATCGTTATTTTGAGACGCAAATGCTGTTTCTGTTGACTCCCTAATGATCTTACATTCAAAAGAAATGTTTATTCGCTTTTTTCTGCCATCAAGAATCTCTTTTACTAAAAATCAGCTATTGTTTGCTTATTACAAAAATTTGAAAAATTGAATCCGAATCAAAGCCAAACACAAGTGAACATCGAATAAGTTCATTATGATGCGCACATGTAAACATTTTTTTTTATAAATCTTAACATTTTGATTGCAAAATTATTTGTCAGCAAATTAAAGATTATTTGTGCTGGATATATATCTTAAATTTTACTTCTGAATTATTTCATAATGTTGTAATTCTGGTTGGTGCTACCGTTGATTTATTTTTGTTTTGGATTATTTTTTATTTTAAGAACTAATTTTGGTAAAACCATCAGAATTTTTTTCAATTTCAATTTATATTATTAGTCAAGCTGCAAATTTAATTATTTTCTGTTTAATTTGGATTTAAATAAGATTCTGGTCCTTGCCAATAAATTCCCGAACAGAGAAGTGTCTTATTGAGCTCCTATTCCAGCATCCATCGATCTGATCCACACTATACTTCCATTGAGCGCTCGGAGGTCGGTGCAGATTTACGTCAGGCAGCGATGAAACCGTCGCAAAAGCGTGGAAACCCTCCTTCCTCTCACATTTTATTACGCGCTGGCACCTCCATATCAGAGAGAGAGAAAGACTGGGAGGGCCCACAAAGGGAAACTATCAATTTTCAAAGCGGATCCGGCGGCAGTCTCTGCGTCGGCCGCTGCACACCCGATAAAACTCGTCGTTAATATTGAATGTGACAATACCAGGTAATTTTAAAACACTTTGTCATAATTTAAAGGGAAGCTGCTCGCACTCGACAAAAACTCTCTTTCGGCACGCCAAAGAATGAAAAATGAATTTAATAAGAGCCGCCGCGTCGAGTCCTTTTATTATTTTCGGGGCGGCCGTCGTGCCACTTCTAATCTTATTATGTCGCTCGGCCGACATGTTTCAAATTGAGTCGCACTTTAATACCATCGTAAGGAGATAAAAACCGCTTTTTATTTCCGCAACAAACGGCGAAAAAGGAGCTTTTCGAAATTTAGAAACACTTCTTGATGCGGTATTTTTCCACTTGCTCACTAAAACGTATAATTAGAGGGTCTCAGTCGTCATTTTTGGAGGCATTTGTGGAATGATGATTGTTTTTGTCGAGCTATCTGGCCATCGACCTGATTCGCAGAAAAGATAAAGAAGCGTCTCTCTCTCTCGCCGTCTCGGCATTAATGACTGGAATTTCTCCACCATCATTGCCATCATTTATTGCTGTGATGGCAGTCGAGATATACTATAATAATATAAAATGACTGTGAGTTATCGCGCGCAAAAAAAGAAGCTTCTCATCCTGATTTATTGTTCATTACGCCGATATTTCCCAACCATTCAAAGCAGCGAGCGTCATCCGCAGAAATGGAAAAGGGGCGCGGAAATGCTTTCGCTTCTTTTACGAGCCTTTCCAGGAATTGCTTCATTTGTATGCCTTTCTGGAGGATTGAGCAAATAAGTCAGTTGATGGTTCTGAATTTTACGTCAAAATTCCTTTAACATTCGGAAAACTCTCCGAAGAAGCGATAAACAAACGCGGAAACCTTTCCACTTTCCAGATATGACAAAGATAATAAATGTTCGTATCGTCTTTTTACTTTTGGTAAATTGTGAAATTCTCAAGAAATTAATAAAATAAAATTTAAATTATATCAGTGCTGAAAAGAAATAAAGTTCTTGGAAAAATAATATAAAATTCAACAATATTGTAAGCTAGTCTGACAATGGGCACCTAAAATAATGTCATTCAGGCCAAAATTTTGATTATACATTCCAATTTCATTACAAAACGCTTTGAATGTCTACGCAGTGAAATATTTTTTGGGGGAATAAAACTCAAAAAGTTGCTGAATAAATCTAGAAATAAATATTTTGATAGTAAATATATAAAGCAAGTTAGGGACGTGTAAAACACGTTGTTTAGCTCGTGGACCCTATTTTATGGTCGATCCAAGCTGCCTAATAAAATTTTAACCACTCCCTAATCTGTATTCATGTATTCCGGATTTCCAGATAGTCTCGCGGCAAGGGAGTGCGATTCAGCCGGTATGAAAACCACACGCACGCGGAGTCTGAATCGTATAAAATCAAAAATGCCACGACGCGCAAAAGGCAATTTCAATAAAGCAGACAAATAACGCGTGCATATCTCTCAGCCTCATTTCATTGGCAGTGCGTAAAACACAGAGATGGATTATGAAATTCCTTGTGGGTGGGTGGCGGTGGATAAATAATATTGGAACGCAGCTGCTGTAGCAGTAAATTTTTGAGTCCGTCGTTTCACAATACCAGCCCGTGGGAAAAATTATTTTGGATGCGGTGAGAAATAAAAAGCAGTGCTTTAAAATGAAAAAGAGAGATGGAGGGAGAAAGTATAAAAAAAACTACTCAATCGCGAGCAATGCTGAAGAGAAAGGCATAACGAGGCCAATAACACACTCAGCGGGTAATAAAAAATTTAAACATTGAAGGGAGATCCTCGAATTTTTCTATATTTATGAACAAGGAGATTTAATAGAATAAAAATTATATCGCGGGATTAATCCAAATGAAAAAATTTTAACCCGCTGTCCAGGAATAAATATAAATTGTCCCGCCTTCAAATTAATTCAGGATAACTTTTTCTTAACCGGCACAATCGGGATAAGCGCTATAATCACATCAGCTGGTTATTAAAAGGTAAAAAAAAATGCTCGTAAACCTTTTAAATTTTGGCAATCGACACAATTTTAAATTTAGTTTGTTAAGATTTTATTACTGTATAAAATAAAAATATTTTTTAAAAAAAGTGAATGTAAAAAAGCAAATATAGACTTGCTGTTTTTTTTTTTTTTTTTTTTTATTCCGAAACTCATGTATGTGATCACGATCAACCACCAAGCGTAAACGATTAGTAGATTTAGATTAAAATTAAACCACTGACCTTATTGAAGGTCTCAGGCTGATCTTGAGAAGGGTGACTCCATGATCCATGATGTCTGGCTTTCTGATATTGATGGGCTTTGCCTTCCTTCGGGGGCCGTCTTCAAAACATTCCCTTCGATTTCTGCAGTCTTGCCTTTGTCCCTCACAATCAGTCTACTGCATCTCCACCGACTGAAACCTAAAATTTTATTGATTTATTAAGAGTAATGTTGTCTGCATAATTTGCAAATAATGAATTTTATTTTCAGAGGAAAAAATACATATGTTGTCACCTGTGGCTTGTGAGTAAAATAAAAGTAATTTAAAAATGCTTATTAATGAGAAAAGTTTTTTACCTGAGAGAAGTGTTAATCGGCCACACTTTGGCCTCCTCCAACATGGCCTCCAAGGGTGAGAGCCGACGCCAGTGACAGACACCAAGTTGCTATAGCCAGGCAATCTGCAAGTTGGGAACGAGGGCCCTTTTAACAACGAAACGAAGGTTCTTGAAGGGTCAGCTCCTGCTGCCAATCGCCTCTCTCCCGGTTCTCACCTTTTTGGGGGCAGCTTTCCTTCCTGAGAAATTCTGGTCGATTTTGGGAACGTTTGAAGCTCGAAACCACCCGAATAAACTCCGTCTTCGGTCCTGGCCTCAGGGCCTCCAATGGTCTTGAAGGATATCGGCCCATTCGGCCCGCAAACACTTCCTGTTCCTGGAGGCAAAATGTCTTTCAATTCACAGAGAAAGCACGAGGCACGAGGCACGACGAAACACACGCAATGACTTAATCCGCGGATCCGCCCGACTGAACAATGGTACCAACAAAACAAATTTTCGTGATTAAATTGATTCTGCAGAAGGTTTGAATTATTTTGAGTTCCAGTGTCTTCAATTCTAGAAAATCCACGTCAAGGCGATTAGTCACAAGTACTGACAAGTACTAATTTAATTATCATGAGAATTTTTATCAACTAGAGTCGACTAAAATAGAGTTTATTGCAAAAACTCATTTGAAAGATAAAATGAAATCTAACTGAAAATTGAAGTTGCTGATCCAATGGAGGTGTGAACTGTGAATCTCCCATCATGAGTCTCACTCTTCAACAAAAAGTGGAGAGGCAAGTTTTGGCGTGAGTCGACCTCAATTTCAGGGGTGACTGCCGCTTTACAAACGCACGCAAATTGGCCTCGCGTTTAAATATACATAACTAGTGCCGCGGTTCCAGAGGCGCATAAACTGCTCTTGTTTACAACCAATACAAATCACGGTTCAATTGGCCGGTATTATTACTTGCTCGGCCGACGGCTCTGCCGAATCAATCATTATCCAACGTGTACAATTATACGACTGGACGTATTAATTAAAGCATGTTTTTATAACTAGGATGCTGCGCTAATGAGCCAATTTGCGGTGGGCGAGGTGAATTTTGCGACCGTGTGCTTGTTTTGCCGCCGCTTTTGTTGCGCTATTGATTTTTAATTAGCCCGCCGTCAGTCTCGCGCTGACGCAAATTAAATTTTCGACGGATACACACAAATAATTTTGATTTGTCATTGTTGATGGCACTATTCATTAGCAAAAGTTTGGAAAATTTTACAATGACGATATAATTTATATTCATGAAGAATCACAATTGAATTAGAGAAAATTATAACGTCACGAGTCCATCGGACTGGGTGAAATTTATTTTTCTTTGTGCCTATTTGTGCCATTAATGAATTGCAGGAAAATTTAAGACCCTCTCCAATTATGAATTGTTTTCAATAATTTGAAATAAAACATAATTTCCTGACTCAAATTGAAATCGCATTTATAAAAAACACATGCGCTCCTACTTGCTCGTGATGGAGGTTTTGGCTCAAAAGCTTTTGATCTTGTTTTCCAAACACTAAATTCAACAAAATAAGTCAAATTTTAATTGTAGACGCACACACATATTAAGTTTGAAATTCAATTCTTCAATCAAGAGCAAGTGTGCCAAAATTTTGCTGTTTTTTTTTTTTTCTTTTGGATTGTTCGCTTTAAAAATGGCTTAATTATTTATATTAATACAAAGATCAAAGTTATTGAGATTAAGCAGGCTTAACTCTCACCGTTTCCAAGGGGTACAGACAATTGAAAAAAATTAAATTAATTAATGTTACAACAAAAATAATGCTCAATTTGAAAAAAAAATCGTAATTTATAAATATTGTTAACTTTATTTTCAATTTTGATAATTAAAATTGAGGTATAAACGGGTTTGATTACTTGTCAGCGAATATCAATTTTGCGTGCCATAGGCATTTTTTTGTTCACATTTCCGTGCATTCGTCTGAATCAGCACGTTTTTTTTTAGCACAGTGGGACTTGAAATCCCTGACTCATTTTCCTCGCACGATGGCACGGCAAATATTTGCCATTCATTCCGCCTCTGCCAAACAAAGCAGATGTACATTTATTTGCAAATAAACCCGGCGTGCCGTTAATAAAGACCGCGCATTCGTTGTTCCCGGTTTCCGCACACAAAAACTCGCTTTGCTGCTCAAAGAGAACAAAGTGTGTTGTGCGTATACGCAAAAGTTTCTGCGCAACCGTAAATTATTCAAAGAGGGATACACATTGAATTAACCTTTTTAAGCCATAAAAGTTATTTAAAATGTAAATTCGAAGGCGCGCGGCTCTTTCTCTGGCGAGTGCATTCAGCGGCAAGGGCCAGTGCGAAAAGGCCAAGCTTGTTTTCCCGCGAATTTATAACTGATAATATTTCACCCTTTGTGCGGCAGAAAAGAACGCGGCGAGAGCATAATGAACCACAAATTCGCCTCATAACTCACAGCACGGCTTGCTATTAATGTGCTCCCCTGCGCTGCGCATCAACGATGCAACCCCCTCTAAATTCTGAAAGGTGAAAAGAAAAGTAATGTGAATAGCAATTTTAATCAACTACACAAGTATAAATTTACACCTTTTGCAAAAATTATTAAAACATAAAAACAAGATATTAGATTGATCGCCAAATTTTATTTAAAATAAAATACAAATTATTTACAAAAATTGTGATTTATTAATTTTTTAATTTTGTCAGTAGGTTCACTAAATTTAAAAATAAAATGAAATATCCTTAATATACTCCATTAAAATTGTATTTCACTATTCCAAAAACCCTAAAATAAAACTTTTAATTCAAGAACTACCAGTATTGCTTAAATTAATCGAAGGGGATTTATTTTTTCCTGCTCTGTCACTGTAAAAACCGTGAACGAATTCGCCACGCAAACGCCGGAGTTCTATAAAAGAGATTTTTGTTTACGAGCGAGTCCAAACTCTCCAAAGTTGGCAGAATTACAATATAGTTTTAAACTTTGCCTCGCGGTATATGTGTAATCTCTGCTGGGTTGTATGTTTTACTTTTTTAATATTAATGTGCTCGAGGCTTTTTTTTGTCAAAGAATTTTCCAACTTTTCACTAAATCCTTTTAGCCTCGTTATTTCGACATCCATCTCTGGACGCGGAATCGCTGTGTTTGTTGACAAAGGCCCCAATTTTTCATTTCGCGTGGGCAAAGCCGCACACGGCCGTAATTCAAAAAAGGCTAGTCCGTTTCATCCGGCGCCAAAGTAGAAGCCTTTCGGTGTAATTAAATAGCGATGCGAGAGAGTTAAAATTTGTCCCGGTAAACAAACAAATCCAACTGCAAAACCTGAGCTCGAAAGTACACACGGAAAAGCAGCGATGGTTTTGCTGCCCACCAAAGTTTGTCCGAAAAAGTAAAACAAAAAATCATTTCTGCCGGAAGCACCTCGTACTGGGAACTTTAGTTTGTGAGACAAAAGCACGCACAACATTTGAACTAGTCGTCCGTCTTTGTGAAAAAGCTGCACGGAAGGGATTAAAACGGCGTTTAATGCGACGACGGCAAACGCAGGACGCTTTGCATGAACATTTGGCGTAATAATATTACGCCAGCACAAACACACGCGGCAAAGCAAAATAAATAATAAGCCTAGCTCCAGACACAACAGAGAGAGAGACTAACGTGTACACGACGACGAATAAGCACCAACAAAAAGGATCAACTTTTGCCATTAATTTCACGTCTGCACGGATTAATTGTTTTAATAATCTAATATTTCAACACCACCGGAGAGAAATTAAGCGCAGAAAGTAAAATTCAATTTTGGCACAACGGTGACGAAATTTTCTAATTATGTAGTTAATTATACATTCTCGTCTGCATCCCAGATAAGTGGATGAGGAAAATTGAAACGGTTACGAGTGAAATCTCAACAAATTAGTAAGCAATGATAAGCACGTTAACGCTTGATAGAAACACATAATTATGTATTCAAAATAGCCGCTTTTTTAGCATTTCCTTATTTAAAAGTTTGTATAAATAGAAGAAGCGCACTGCGGCGGATGGGGTCTTTTTGATCTTGATAGTTTTAGCAAAATTCTTGCAAAAGGTGGTGTTGTTTTGTCCAACAATTCCTTTTTTTACAAATTAATTGTTTTCAACAATTGTATGTAAAAAAAATTTGACGTAAAAATTTGTACAAATTAATATCAAAAAAGAAGAGAAAATCTCAAATAAGTAAAATATTGTTGTGTATTTTAGGCCAAAATCTTTTTTTTAAATAATAGCAAATGTTTTAAAAAAAATTGCAAATATTATGTTTTAATTTCTGAATTTAGGAGAGAAATAATATCAAAATATTATAATTATAAGAATCATTGCATTGGTATAATAGGAAACATTCTATTTGATAAAAACTCAAAATAAGCCAGTCTTTTATTCGTTTATTACCTAAATTTGTTTTTTTTTTTTAGTATTTATCCAAAATAAAATCTATTTATTAATTTAATGCAACCCATCACAGAATCAAGGGTTAATTCTTTAAAATTATCTTGTTTTTAGCAAATCCCCTGCTCTTGTCAGACGGAGTTTGTATCTTGTTTTGAGTATTTGGGTCGTTTTGGAGATAAGATATTGTTGGAGTGGCTTCTGCATTTATTTCGCCTATGTATTCCAAAGCCTCCGCCCTTTTCCTCTTAACTCACTGGCTTGTCGGCGAAACTTTTTGCGGCGGCGAGTTTACTTTTCACCTGGCGCAAAAAGCTAGAGAAAAGCGAAGGGTTGAAATAATGCTTGGTCTGTGCGGTTTCGCCGAGCAGTGCGTCACATCTTTTTGCTCTGCGCCGGCAAGTGCGAAGGAGAAGAATGGTTTTCTCAAATTTGCAAGTCCTTTCGCATGCAAGGGTTACGCAAACAGCACGCGTTACAAATTCAATTGTCTCTTGCCGCCTTGCCTGCGTTTTTAATTCGTAACTCATGCATAAAATATAAATTACAAATTGAATGCCGCATGGGCCAACGCAATTGGGGAAATGGTACGAAAACAATTCAAATAAATTCCCACCGTTTTATGAATTTTGAATTGGTGCAGTTGAATTATGCAAAAGAATACGGAAGGTAATTTTTTTCTCACCCTTTTGATAAATTATAAATTTTTTTTAAAAATCAAACATATCTCTGGACATGGTTTCAATATAAAAAAACCCTCTGAGAGCATTAAAAAAAATTACAAGACAAAAAAAAGAAATTCTAACTTTT